GAATATGAGGAAAAACAATATTAAGGAGAGAGAACAATAAAAGGACAGGAATTGAGAAGATAGAAAATAACCATTGACATTGCATTTAAATTTTTGAACATCAAAGTTGAATCAAGATAGAAGAAAGTGTTAGCATAGAACTTGCCGTTCTATGAAGCCAATTCAACTGTAAAATGAAGAAACCTTGAAGCCAATCTAATACTGCGCTTAAATTCATAAAGTCGAGAAATTTTCATAGAAAATATCCTGTCGGAGGACGAATATTTTCTGTGAAAATTTCTAGGACATTCAGGCCGGTAAATGTTGTTTAATACTGTTTATTATACAGAGCAAAGTTCATCAGAACTCTTACCATGGAAGTATTTATAGAAAAGGCACAGGGAGGCAACCTTACGGCAGTGGAAAAGTGACAGAAGCCGAGAGGCCAGGTTAGGACCAATAACATTGGAGATTCTTCTTTGGATATTCTTTAACATCCAATATTTTTGAAAGGACATCTTGATCAGGTCGATAAATTTTCAGCATGCCCGGAAATCTATCTATCTATCTATCTATCTATCTATCTATCTATCTATCTATCTATCTATCTATCCCAGTTTGTTCGCATCTATCTATCTATCTGCTGTATTTCTGGTTAATTCTCGTTGCCAAAATGTTGTAACCTAGGGAAGGTTACTGAACAGAATAATCAAATGAAGTTTAGTAATGAACGATAATACTTAGGACTAGAACAACACATATAAGATTCGCCAGAGGCGCGTAGAAGTAGTAGTCAACTGCTAGAAGTGAGTCAAGTGAATTCCACAATGAATCTCCAACTGCAAGATATCTACCAACTGCTTCACGCGTTCAGATGTGGTACAAAGCCGAATTTAATGTGGGTTTTCCGTACGCTCGGCCAAAAATTCCCCGTAGGCCCTGTATAAAACGGGGTCAGGTAGCTGTTTCCCAAGACGAGACTCTGCCCTATATTTAGGCAGCAAGAATGAATACAAACAAGTTTTGTTAAAATTAACCGTCTGCTATTTCATTTTTATTGTTTTTACCAATTTACGAATAAAATTTGTACATCGAGATGAAAGATGTGTATAAACTGTCCGAAGTTTATATTTTCTTTTCTTTTTGTTCAAGACGACATGGTGTCTTAGTGGCATTATCGCTTTGTTTGGGGTGAAATGATTAAAAAAAAAATAAACATACAAATATACCCGTCGTTATCAAAAAAATAGTATTGCCAATGTTGTTGACAAGATTTTGTTGGCTACATTTTGGCATTGCTTTGAGGGAACGGAGGGCTTTAAATTAATCTAAAATGACGTAATGTGTAAAACGGTTACACGGAACTGGACCGCATGAAAAATTAATGCATCATTTATTTTTATGCATTATTTTTCACACATATTAGATATTTTATACGTCCTTTAAGAGACTGTCTCTCATGGTGAAAGATATTTTATTTAATGTGGGTTGTTTTTTTCAGCTTCGATAATTCTGAGTCTTATATATTTTTTTAATTGTCTCCTAATATCTATCTATCTATCTATCTATCTATCTGTCTAGCTATATACACACACACACACACACACACACACACACACACACACACACACACATATATATATATATATATATATATATATATATATATATATATAAAATTTTTTTTATGTTCATACATTAATTTTTATAGATACAAATATTTAAGTAAATGCTCTGTTTATAATAAACAGAGAAAATAACGTTTCCGACAGGATATTTCCTATGAAATTTTCTCGAAAATATTCGTCCTCGGTAAATGTTGATACTGTTTATTATAAACAGAATTTACTTAAATATTTGTATCTATAAAAAGAATGTATAAACATAAAAATGTCTTAAAATAGTTGTCGGACTTTGTCCACTTCATAATATATATATATATATATATATATATATATATATATATATATATATTGTGTGTGTTTGTTATCGAATTCCTCTTAGGGTTTTCGAGATAGACACCCATAACCATATATATTCTGAAACTACATTACCCAGGGTACTTGGGTAAGTATATTTCATTTTGATCAAAGGGGGTCCCCAGGTGACACAAAACCCCAACTGAAATTTTTGTTTCGTTTGATATAAATTAAATTTAAATTTGAACAAGGAAATGATTCCTAGTTTACTTGGGTAAGTATATTTCATTTTGATCAAATGATGCCCGGGGGTACCCCATACTGAAATTTGAACAAGGGGATGATTCCTATCTAAAAATATAGAAGGAGAAAGCCAGAAAATGGAGGTCACATCGGCAAGATGATTGAGTAATACTGAAATGCATCATTTATAACAATGATTTAAAATCGATCATTATTTTCTTACAAAAATGTGTGACATGCAGCAGAGTGCGGGTAATTCTACTAGTGTATATATATAGAAAACAAGTACACATCAAGTGCTCCAGATCAACTGCAATCTTCAGCTGAGCGCCGTGCTTCATCAAAGTTTCGACCCATTAAGCTCAGTAGCTCTCCACACGGTCTGAGAGGCTAGTATATATATATATATATATATATATATATATATATATATATATATATATATGAGTAGAAGATCAAATGTAGAACAGATATAGATATGTATCCGACAAAATAATAAAATAAAATAAAAAACAAGTAGGAAACGTATCTCAATCATTTTTATTAAAGCTTCGTCAGAGATCGAGATAGAAATAAAATAAAAAAGCAAAGAAACACAGAGTACTGGTATGTTATGACTTTTGGTCAGTTCTTATTGGTCAAATACGTGTCACGTGTATTAATGTAATAGATAAAATATAAATATGTGTGAGGAACATTTTGGACGTTAAAGTGGGTAATAGTGTATGAGTGTGTATGTAAAGAAACACTTGTTTTCTAGGTGCGTATGATGGAGGGTAACGTTAATTTAAGTAATCGTATATATGCGTGTGAGAGAAATGTGTATAGATGTTGCCCTCGTGTATGTCAGTGAAATGTAGCAAAATGTTGCAATAATTCTGTATTTGTTTGGATTTTTATATTCTAATGTATGTATATGTGTGTGGGGGGAATGTCTGTTGTCGTCACCTATACATTAATAAATAAAATTACATGCTTCCTTATTTTGATTAAACCTAATTTTTGATTTACACACACATACACATATATATGATTTTATTTGTATTAATGTCATCATATATATATATATATATATATATATATATATAGGATAAATACAAATAACATTTGTCCCTTAGCTGACTGATATTATATTCAGCATGTCGAATAAAGTTTCGTAAATTCGCTTTTTTGTAATTGTTCTATCCACTCTTCAGGAGGTTTCAGTAATTAACTGCCGTTTTTCTCATTTGCGTTTTCTTTATGGCAATTTTGATGATGTAATCAGTTTATACGTTAGTTGGGATGCTCTTATTATTGGTGTTAGGTTAATTTCACTATGTGTGTGTGCGCCCGTGCGTGTCTGTACATACGCATATTTGTATGTGCCTTTGTATGGAGAGAAAGAGAGAGGAAGAAAGAGGGGTAATAGTGACGTTCTGATTGATTTCCACGAAAACTAGCCCCATTGGGCAGAGCAAATTTTCCGCTACAAAAACACTAATTTTCTCCTATAGTCACTTACCAGTGACTTTGCATTGTTCAATAGTCATGGATAGGAGCCTGCATGCCGCGCTAGTAAATGGGGCTTGTCCTACATGACATTAACCATCGCCTAACAGCGTTCATATTCACATTTTGGTTTCTCTAAACGTTCAGCGAATGTCAATGGAATGTCGATGGGTGCATAGTTTATTTTTCTTTTTCTTTTTTTGGACGTAGGAATTCAAAGCCACACCTCTGCTTCTTATATCTTTCATGTCAGAAGCTATTTTATTAGACTGCTATTTGTAACAAGACAAAAATTTACGAGTTATTGGCGGAATATCCAACATCTACTTACTGCCTTATCACCAACAAACGCCGATAATTTTTTGTATAATAAAATGATATATTAATTTGGGAGTTACACACACACACACACATACACACACACACACACACACACACACACACACATATATATATATATATATATATATATATATGAAAATTTCTCCGATTTAATCGGTAGAGAAGACAATATTTATGAATAAAAATGACAATAGGAAAACGGGTAATTGCTGACGCGTTTCGTTCAATGTGGACTTTATCAAAGCAAAATACGAAAAAAAAAAAAAAAATTTACCTTAATTACCAGTTTTCCTATTGTCATTTTTATTCATATATATATATATATATATATATATATATATATATATGTACTATTACATTAGAACATATTTCAAACCCAGTACAAAACTATTACACCTTGTTTCAAAGTTAAAAAGTAACGTTTCTTCAGGTGGGAAATCACGATGGTACTATCACGAGTGTAACATCGTGATTTCCCACCTGAAGAAACGTTACTTTTTAACGTTGAAACAAGATGTACAGTTTTGTACTGGGTAAGAACATGTTCTGACGTAAAAACCTTACTTTTTAACGTTGAAACAAGATGTCCAGGTTTGTACTGGGTATGAACATGTTCTAATGTAACAGTACATAATAAATATTTTTGTTCCACTTTTGTATTGAGCCCTGTTTTGAACGCGAACATTTTACTCTTCGTTCTTTTACCTTTTGTGTGTGTATATATATATATATATATATATATATATATATATATATAGAGAGAGAGAGAGAGAGAGAGAGAGATGAGTGGACCAGTAAATATGTAGCCTAACTTGTAGTTATATTAAATTTCTATAAATATTCACCACAGAATCAAGCGTATTGAACAAGCAGAGTATTAGACTGAAAAATAAAAATAAATACTTATTGTATAAACAAATGATTTTATTATTAAGCTACGTACATTTACACTCACACACACACACGCACACACACACATATATATGCATATACACTGTAATGTTTTTCGAATAAAATGAGCAAAAATTAAGGACAAAACGAAGGGACGAAGAGAGCGTGATGGAAAGAGGAACGCATATAACGAAAACAAAAATCCACTGAGAGAAAAAGTGGATCGTATGGGAATTGAGAGAGAGAGGGGGGAGGGGCAAAAAAAGAGAATGATAAAAATGAGAGGAAGAGAAGCATAAGAAAGAATATATAAAGAAAGAAAGCCACATAAAGAAGAGTGTCAAAAAGAGAGAAAATTATTAGTGAAGGAAAGAAAGTAAAACAGAGATATAGATAGCAGCCTAGACAAACTAAGAGAAAGCAATGGAAAAAAGAATAACACAGAGTGAGAGAGAGAGAGAGAGAGAGAAGGTGAAAAGCAAAAATGTAAAAAAGCGAAAAATAGCAAAAAATGGCGGACGTGCAAGCGTGTGCAGAAGCAGAGACACGGACGCAGAAACAGTATTACACGCAGAGAGGAGAAAAAAGCCCAAGAATACTTTGGGAAAAAGACAGAGACAAAGGCACACACACACACACACACACACAGAAGCGCAGAAAGAGAGAGAGAGAAGCGCAGAAAGAGTGGCAAAAAATAGAAAGAGAATGGCATAGAATGTGAAAAAATTCACAACGAACGAATGGAAAAGAGATCAGAGAGAAAAAGAAAGACATTCATAGAGAGGGCAAGAGAAAGGCACAGAGAGGTAGAGAAAATAACATAGAAAGAGAAAGGCATAGAAGGAGGAGAACAAGAGAGATAAAGAAGAAGATGACCACATGAATCCGCATAAAGAATGGCATCGAGAAAGAGAGAGAAAGAAAAGAGCAGAGAGATAAAGAGAGAGAGAGAGAGAGAGAGAGAGAGAATTTCACACAAAATGACATAAAGAAAAACACAGAGTGGGAATGAAAAAGTCAAAGAAAGAGAAAAAGAGAATGCAAAAAAAAAAAATGAAACGATAAAGACAAAAGTAGAGTGAAAGAGAAAAGCGAAGCGAAGAGCAAGAGAGATAGAAGAAGAGAGCGTTCCCAGATCCCAAAAATAACCTTGAATTTCTACCAGACTCGATGTCGAAGGTTGGGCTTTGCCTTCTGCCCTGACCAACGTCGAAAGCATGAAATACGACTGTCTGCTTGACTGCTTAGCCTCACGTATTTTTCATCATATTTTTATTATGCGAGTCAATGTTTTCGCAATAAAATTGGAATTAACCAACCAATGTTGATATAGTTTTTAGGATACACATATGATAAATACACCATGTGAATTTTAGCTTGTAGTAACTTATATTAGCTTCTAGAAGAGAATGTTTTATAAGAGCTTATTTCGTGGTGCGTGATTGTGTTATGCATCTTGAGTCTCTGTGATGAGGTATTATGATTTACTTACATTATTTGCATTATTCTGACTGTTATTCTCATCTTTATTGCCATATTCACGTTTCGGCCGTTGTACGCCCCGGCCTTCTTCAGGTGATTGGAATTTCGAACTTAACTCTTTATTTTGTTCACCGGGGTAGTAGAGAAAAGGCGTTAGTTAGATCCAGTGACAAGACCCAGATAGTTGTGAGTTCAATACCAGACTACAGAAGTGGTGAACCAAAACTTGGAGAGTTAAGTTAAAGGAAAACAACTGAGACATCCGGGAGAGGTATGGCACGTGGAACTAGAACAATCTACCCCGGTGGATGAAAAAAGAGTTCGGTTCAAAATTCCGGGCACCTGAAGAAAGCCGGAACTTACAACGGTTGAAACGTTGTGAATATGGCAATGAGGATGAGGATAAGAGTCCGAATAATGTAGCTAAGGTAAGTAACTTGAGTTTCGTTTATCCTATTATAAATGAATATAACAATAGAGTTACTGATATGTCTTTTTAATTTCAGATAAATAAAGATTGCCATGTGTCATGAGAAAGGTATTGGAGCTTTCCAAACAGAAACAAGATATTGCAAAGTTCTTGAGTGATGAGAACTCAACTTTTGAGATGCAAGAAACTTGACCATTGATCATATAATAATCAAAACAAAAACTGAAAATATTGGTAAAATATGAAAAAGAAAAAATGGTATTAAGAAAAATTAAAATGTAATAAGTGAACTGACCAGCAAGAAAATAATTGAAGAAAATGAATGTTGTGAACATAGAGAGAAAAAAGAAACCGAATATTAAGAACATTGGATAAAGACGTGATAACAATCAAACTACCACCTTTAAGTAAGCATCACAGAGAAACTTGGAACTTGGGTGAAGAAGTACATGAAAACTTGTTTCTCAGTCGTAATTACTAGTGATGAATATACACTTACATTGAATGAAGCTAATGGATGGCTAGAGTTTGGATTCTTCATGGAAATAGTGAAGCAACACGACTTCAAAGACTTCAGTGAGAAGTAATGCTTTGGGCGAGTAAAAAGATATCTATACTTTATAGGTTATGCAAAAGCGTTTGATAAAGTACGCCACAAAGAACTATTTGAACTGTTAGGTAAGCTTGATATATTTAGGAAAGATATTAGAATAATCCAGGACTCATATTGGAAGCAAACTGCCTGCATACGGATAGAAAATGAATTCAGCAAATACACAAACATAGAAAGGACGTAAGAAAAGGATGTGTCTTCTCACCAAGTTTATTAAACAATGTTATAGAGAAAGCTATAAAAAACGCATCAATGGGACGTGGAAAATGAAAGATACTGACAACGTACAATTTTTTCATGATTAAATGAGAATACATTTCCGCTGTTTGAATTTTCATTTTGTATAAAAACCATTTTGAATAATAGAACAAAAGCAGAAATTGTTGGATTTTCAAATCCCTAGGTGAGTTCTGGGAAAACCTGTACAAAAATAGAAAGGAGTGTGCGACAAGAATGTGTCTTCTCATCAGATTTATTCAAACTTTACAGTCAGGTGATTGTGAGAGAATTATAATTCCTACCATTCTTGGCGGCTACAATCTTACAACAATTTGTACAGGGTATTTGAAAAGTAATTCCCTATTTTATGTATGAGTGACTAGCCAGGAGTCTTGACTTAACATCCTGTGATTTTTTTTTCTTTGGGGTTGGTTAAAGGAGGAAGTCTACTATAGCAAACCAAGACTTTGGAAGAACTTGCAGGGCGAATACAAGAAGTTATGTCTTCCATTCCACAAAAGTTCATGGTGAAATCAGTTGAAACGATTCCAGGGCAGCTCGAGAAGCTGGTAGCGAAATCCGTGAGAGTGAGTGTATTTTATGCCAGATGATTCCTAGTATATTAAACTTTGTAGCTTTGTGTGGTAAAGAACATATTTTAATACACACATACACTCATATACCCCCCCCATATATATATATATATATATATATATATATATATATATATATATATATATATATACCCCCACACACACATACACACACATATATGATAAAATATAGTTTTAAGGTATACTATATTTAAAAGTTCTCAGAATCGGAGATAGAACGTAAATATAAAAGTGAACACTGTAGTCAACACCAAGCGGCGTCAGTCTGTTTCCTGCGTAAACGCAATCTCCAGACATAACACGAAGATGGCGCTCAAACAGTAAACCGACTGTTTCCGCTTCTTGTTGACTTCAATATTTACATTTATAAATACAGGTTGATTGAAAAGTAATTCCCTGTTTTATGTATGAGTGGCCAGCCTGGAATCCTGACTTAACACTCTGAAGTTATGTTATAACAAGAAGTTATGTCTTCCATTCCACAAAAGTTCATGGTGAAATCAGTTGATTGCTCAAGAAGCTGGTAGCGAAATCTGGTGCCTATATCGAATTTTAAATAAAACCATGCTAAACGTTTTCTTGTAAAAATTATAGTGAATAAATTTCTTGTAAAAATTATAGTTAATAAATAAATTATAAGTATTTTAAAATTGCGGGTTACTTTTCAATCGCCCTGTATATGACACAGTGTTGATAGCAGACATAGAAAGGAAACTGCATGGACTCTTACAGAAGGTAATAAAGGAAGAAGAAAGGACCAAAAAATTATAAGAAGATAGAATGTATGTTTGTTAGCAAAAAGAAGAGCCCAACACGCAAATTACAAATTGGAGATACCAAAATCAAGCAAATACAAAAATTTAAATATCTAGGAATTGTTTTAGCAGAGGACGGAAAATAAGATACTGATATCCGAAGGTGCATCGGTATAGTGAAAGGTGCATTCCAAAAACTAAGCAAAGTATTAAGAAACAGAAAAATATCGTTAGTAACAAAGAAAATAATACTTAACAATTATGTAATATAGGTCCTTCCTTATGGCAGTGAATGCTGGACAATCTATTCATATATTAAGAAAAGAATTCAGGCAACAGAAATGTGGTTCTACAGAAAGATATTGAGTATATTATGGACTGAACATGGGAGCAATAACAAAGTCTTAGAGAAACTGGAAACAAAAAGGACACTTATACTTTACATCAGAAAGAGAGCGTTGGAATTTATATGGCGCATAATGAGGAAAGAGGGCTTAGAAAAATTGACACTGACAGGACATATTTCAAGAGAGGCAGAGGAAAACAGTGCATAATCTGCCTAATGAGCTTATGCAAATCGTTGATAGAATAGGGTTATGGGGAGATAGCGAAAAGACAAAATTTATTATGAGCTACAAAGGACAGGAAATTGTGGAGAGCCATGATCGCCCATGATAGATTCCTTAAAACTTCATGATGATGGCAAATTAAATGAAAATAATTCAAACAGGATTATTTTTGAGTTGTAGAGGTCATAATCATGGAGGTTTATGCTGAAGAGAATATTTATGCAAAATATTCTTTCACTGTAAGAAACCTTGCCAAAAGAAGTTTCAAAACACCAAATCTGTCTAGATAGTAATTTAATGGAAAACAGGTAATCATTAAAAGATACTCATGAAAATGGAAGAAAAAACGATCTCTGGGAAGCAGTAATAACTACTGCAAGTAATTATTTACGTTGTTCGGACTGTTGTCCTCATATTCATTGTCATCTTCACGACGTTTCAGCCGCTATACGC